ATATATATATATATATATATATATATATATATATATATATATGAACGCGTGTTGGCGTCGTGATCCGGGGTCTTGTCTGGGCGGATAGTAGCACTGGCTCGATACATTGGTAGGCCACCACCACCACCAAAGGCCAGATATGCCTTCAATCACGTTGTTTACTGAAGTCGAATGCATGGCGCATCCCTCAGGGATTGATCAACGCCGAGATCAAGCTTTATCCTTTTATTTACATGTATAGACATATATATGTATATATGTATACATTTGTGTATGATACAAACTTTCCCTAATTTGCGAATCAATGAATCATAAGTTGCTTAAAAACTGCTGGCAGGTGCTTCATCCTGGTGCTGACAGCGACGAGGAGAGATCAGTTACGTCAGCGTCAATGGATTATGGAATAAGCGAGACATGTGGTCCATTCACTATTTCTAATAGCTTTTCTTCAGCTTCTTCTTCTAAGTGAAGCATAAATTGAGAATTTGTTTTGGACCAATTTGACTTTTGGAATGTTTTTTTTTATTTTAGTGCCATGAACTCGTATGTCCTTCCATGACTTTCTAGTTTAGTGTTGATTTTTTTCCTTGATGGTTTCCATGAAGGTTGTAAAATCGTCTCGCTTAACATATAGTTTTGTCAACCAAAAGCAAACAATGTCTTACTGAGAAGGGAACTAATCCTATTCACATCCTTAGTATTCGCTATAGTTCAGTTAATCACTGAGTAAGGTTGACGTTTATTCGCTTAGCGTACAAGAGAGAACGTGATTGCAAAGTCATCTAGTAATCAAATAAGTGCTACATTTATCCTATCTCTGACGAAAACTGTCTAATTAGCTCGCTTGAAGATATGAAAAGTATGAGACATTTAACGCGAGACTGTTATTCATAATACTTTACTGGCCGTGCAAACGATTTGAGCTGTGCTCGACTCAAGAAGATTAAACTCGAGGAACTGCGAAGACCCCACAATGTGAAAGCGACCGACTACGGAAAATCGACTCGGATCACCGGCTCTGACTCTGAAGAAGACGAAGACCTCAAAAGGTTACCTGAAAAAACTTTTAGAACAACCTCGTATAAGCTGAACAATCCAAAAGAAAATATCCTATCTATTTTCAACGTTTCTACCGAGAGGGTAGCATGACCGGAACCTTG